CGATGGGTCGTTACAAGGGATATCGCCCGATTGCAGCCAAGGCCAAGAAAATCCGTGAATACTGGGCTTTAAAAAATCGACCTCGTGACTCCCAGCGTTATGAGGTGGACTACGAGAAGATGACCCGGGCCTTCACAGGCAAGCGCCTCCCTGTGCTGGCCTGGGAGGATGTGAGGAATGAGAACCGGCTTTTTATGCTGCTCTCCCGCTTGCACCTCTTTGGTATCGGCAGGATGGTCACACGCAAATCCTGGATATGGGAATACGATGAGCCTTGTTATTGGGTCATTACTAAAGTAAAACTGGATTATACAGCTGAGGTGAGTGCTTCCACTGGCTGGAAAAGGGAAAATTCAGGCATCCTAGAACAGGGAGTCCTCGACTTACAGCAATTAGTTTGGTGACTGTTCAAAGTTACAACAGCACTGAAAAAAAGTGATTTATGACTGTTTTTCACACTTGCGACCATCACAGCATCCCCCCATGGTCATTCAGGTGCTTGGCAACTGGTTCATATTTATGACGGTTGGCAGTGTCCCGGGATCATGTGATCAATCTTTTGGGACCTTCTGACAAGCAAAGTCAAGGGTGAAGCCAGATTCGCTTAACAGTTGTGTTACTAACTTAACGAAGGTGGCAAAAAAGGTCTTAAAATGGGGCAAAACTCACTTAACAAATGTCTCGCTTAGCAACATAAATTTTGGGCTCAGTTATGGATGTATATCGAGAACTACCTGTACACAGGTTGTTTATTCATTCATTCATGTTATTTTTATTTGTAAAATTCATTAGCTGCCCGTCTTATAACATGGTAACTCTGGTCGGCTTACAATATTAAAAGATAAAACTGCACACAACCTGATGATATAAATAAAATCAACCTCGCTAACAAGATGGGGAGTAAGGGAGTAGGATGAGAAGAGGAGGGGGTGGGATCTGTTGTAAATCTGTTGACCACATCCAATGTGAAAATCCTTAGTTGGAATCCCAGGCCAACAGGCAGAGCCAGTTCTTTTAAGCTCTTACAAAAAGTAAGGAGGTTTGGAGCTTCAAGATGGTTCAAAGGGCAGGCGCAATCCTCATTTAACAACCTTAATTGGGTTGGAATTTCTTGAAAATCGACTTTTAGTTTTGGTTCAAATTCAGACACTCCCTCTTCCCTTCATCTTGAATGGACTATAATCATTTGATGTTCTTTGTTACAGAAAATGGAACATGGAAAAGCCTGGGGATATTTGACATTTAGAGGTAAGGCAAGATTTGCTTTTATGGGTGAAGATTTCACGATGAAGCCTTTAGCAAGGACGAGGTTTCATGAGAGAGAGAGAGAGCAGTGGGGCCAAATCTTTTGGGCTCGGGGGGTCAAAAATTAAGAAATGCCTAACTTGATTCTCCTGATGTATCGAACCCTCCCCCCCAACTCTGAACAAAAAAGAATTTTTTATGCATTTTTATATAAAAATGTACAGTCCAATCATGTGTGGCATTGTGTATTATATAAAGAAACACAATTACAGAAACATAATACAAGTAAAACCAACCGCATGCAGTCTATGCCAGTGATGGTGAACCTTTTAGAGACCAAGTGCCCAAACTGCAACCCAAAACCCACTTATTTATCGCCGGGTGCCAGGTGGGCGTGGCTGTGGTGGTCATGGCAGACTGGGTGGGTGTGGCCAAAGTGGGCGTGATCTCCTTGATGTTGCTCGTGGGGAGGGATGCCTGTGGGGGCTGGGTAGGGTTGGGGGAGATCCAGGGGGTCTCTGGCAGGTGGGGCGGTGGGCAAGAGGCTCGTCCTGCTGGGTGAGGCGAGGGGAGGCAAGGCAGGGCAGGGGTGCTATTGTCACAGGGCAAGGCGAGGCAGGGACAGGGCAGCTGCTGCCTGACACCATCGGCCCCCGCACACAGAGGCCAGCGAGCGCATGGGTGCTGGGATGCACCCGGCCATGTGGGACCTCGGGGAGTTAGAGGGTGGCTGGTTGAAGAGGGAAGGTTGCCATCTCCGGGGCATGGTGCACATGCCCACAGAGAGGGCTCTGAGTGCTGCCTCTGGCATGCGTGCCATAGGTTCGCCACCACTGGTCTATGCTTTCAAATCGGTCTTTTCACCGCGTGTTCCATCCTGGCAAGACCTGCCTGCATTTATCAGGACCTCTCTCTTCCTCTTCTCAATTGCTTCTTAGGCAAGCCCGAAAACGAAGAGAAAGAAATAGACAAAGTAATGTACCACGACTGGCGCATGGTACCCAAACACGAGGAGGAAGCCTTTAAGAAATTTACCCCTCCCGTGGAAGAAGAAAAAGTCCGGTATGTCCTCTATCCACCGCTGCTACGGGCCATGATCCTTGCGCAGAGGCAGAAAGAAGGTAAATCAACCAAAGAAGAACCATTGCTTGATTTAGAGCCAGCTGTTCAGCTCCTAAACGCGTCCCCCGGAAACCAAGCTGAAGGGACCCCGGTCTGAAGACTTTAGGACTTCGAAATGGCTCTTGGTTTGTTACATTCTCAGGTGTGATCACACGGCCCAACTTTCTTATTCTGCCTTGCACTGAGATGTTTCTGGGAAATACGATCCTGTCACTGAGGCTGGGGAAAAAAAACAACCCCACCAGCAATAAGTAAAATTAGAAGATAATTTTGCTATTGGAATCTTCCATTGACATTTCCCCAATTATCCTGTTTTGTTTTTTAGATTTGTTTTTATTTCCCATTTCTGTGTTTCTTGTTGCTACCTGATCAGGTCCGAGGAGAGCACGGGGCATCAATCCATTTGTTTTAATAATGAGGCAATATAAATTAAAGAGACTCCTAATTAAAATAATGGATTGGAACAGAGATCAATCTCTGTCCTAGCACGGCATCATCTTCCTCCCCTGAATCCAGTCACAACCTTAAAATGTGCTGTCGTGTTACTGTATGCCATTTTTTTTAAAAAAAAAACAGCCTCAATCTCTTCTTTATGATGTGGCATTGTTCTTTCCTGTATTTTCAAATGTATTGGTGAAATGAAACAGGGTTGTTACGGGGAAAATAAGAGGACGAAGGAGTATTAGGTATGTTTGCTGCCTTGAGTTATTTGTAAAAATAATAAAAGTAGGATACAAATGAATAAAAAAATGTTAAAATCACGGGCACAATGAATTTGTGTCAGAGCTGTCCTCTGAAACAGACACGCACTAGGAACTGGATCGGTGGAGAAATGGGGTCACTCCTGAATGGAAGGATTTCCTTGGTCAACATTGCACTGCAGCATCACTAAGTTTTTTTACATGTGTGTTTCATGTATGTATGAGTGTTTCTAAATGCCTCCGCTCTTTACCCCAGAGCACATAACAATAAGATCACCCCCTTAGAAAGTAATCAAATAGAAAGCCGTTGGAATCTTGCTAGCTCTTCCAGTGGCACCCACTGGAAATGTTGAAACTTCTTTTCCAAAATTAATAATTGACCATCTTTGATTTTCTTTTTAATGTGCAATTTAATTTCATTTTAAGGGCAAAACAATCATCTCAGCAAAGAGGGGAGGGGTTGACGTTGATTGACCCCTCATCTGCGTAATAACAGGGGTTCCCCTGAAAAGCCAATAATGTCTTGTGCTTTTGGTTGTTGTTTTTGACGACAACCTTGATGTTATCTATTCAGCTGTATCCAATTCTTTTCTTTTTTTCCCTAATATTATACAATTAACTTTCCATTACTGAATTGCAGAAGAGTTGATTCCTCTGGGAGAAAACAGATCCTGAACCAACCAAAAGCTTTGAAGAGCTTTTTCATCTTAGAAACCAGGACAGATTGTTCTTTTTTTTCTTTTTTTTTTGTGGCTGATAAAATAAACAATTTTGAAGTGCAAAACGCTCAACTTACGATCATAACGAAGCCCAAAATTTCTGTTGCTGAGCAAGGCAGTTAAGTGAGTTTTGCTTCATTTTACAACCGTTTTGCCACCGTTGTTAAATGAATCCCTGCCATAGGCACATTAATAACACGGTTGTTAAATAACACGGCTTCCCCATTGACTTAGAAGGGGATCACATGATCCCAGGACATGTCATAAATATGAGACAGTTGCCAAGTGTCCAAATTTTGGTCATCTGACCATTAGGGATGCTGCAGTTGGTCATCAGTGTGAAAAGCCCTCATAAGTCACTTTTTTCAGTGCCATTGTAATTTTGAACAGCCACTAAATGAACTGTCGTAAGTCGGAGATTATCTGTACATTGGGATTTTTTTGTTTTTTTTTAAGCTGCCCAGAGCTTGAGCGGGCAGCCATTCCAATTTTGTTAAATAATATAGAAATAAACTTTCTTCCTGAACCTCCCAGGAATATAGACCAGTCTTTTAGATTCTGTGGCCTGGAGATAATTGGATTTTAGTGGCCATTAGCTCCTGCCATTATGTCCAAGGATGATGGGTGGTGGAATCTAAGCCCCGGAGAGCCTCTGGTTCCTTAGTCCCCCCTCAATATCCTCTGAAGCTTTTCATCTGGATTAAGTATGAGTGGTTTAAGATTTAGGCTTGAAATCCGAAGAAGGAGTGTGAAAAATGACAACCGTATTTTGAATCTGCGTATCAGTGTTAAATATAATGCTCCTTTGCCACTAAGTACAACGCACTCATTCTATCAAACCTCTTTAACATTCTGTCAACCGTCTCTCCTGTTAAGGAGGTTTAATTTTCTCCAATGAGAAAGTAATTTGGTAAAGAAACTCGGCAGCCTGACAATTAAAAAAAACACATTTTTGTATTAATTTGAAAGCTGCGACTGTGGAATTTTAGGTGGTGTGATTGACTTTGCTAATCACCCTGCTTGTTTCTATCCTATTAGAGCCGAGGCGCGCCACCACAATCATTTTACACAATAAAAGACAACAACAGGAATTACTCTTTGCCGTTATTCACCCCGTTGCAAAACTAGCTTGGTTTTAAATTTAAAAAGGTGGTGTGTCGCGTACACCGAGAAAATTGGGTTAACTTGAGTACAACACAATCCGAAAGCTTGGAAGACTCCATCTCTGATCCCAGTGACCGACCCAGACTGGATCCTGAGTACAACACCGTTTAAAATGGGGAAATCTTTGGGCAAGTTTTTGGGATCCAACTGAGCTTTGGAAAAATTATAATCAGGTCGTCCTCAATTTGCAACCATTTCTTTTTTTAATGGCCATTCAAATAACAACAACAACAACAACAACAACAATAATAATAATAATAATAATAATAATAATAAATTGGAAGGGACCTTGGAGGTCATCGAGTCCAACCCCCTGCTCAGGCAGGAAACCCTATACCATTTCGGACAAATGGCTGTCCAGTCTCTTCTTAAAAACGTCTAGTGTTGGCGCATTCACCGCTTCTGGAGGCAGGTTGTTCCACTGGTTAATTGTTCTAACTGTCAGGAAGTTTCTCCTTAGTTCTAGGTTGCTTCTCTCCTGGATTAGTTTCCATCCTTTGCTTCTTGTCCTGCCTTCAGGTGCCTTGGAGAATAGCTTGACTCCCTCTTCTTTGGGGCAGCCCTTGAGATATTGGAAGGCTGCTATCATGTCCCCCCTCGTCCTTCTCTACATTAAACTAGACAGACCCAATTCCAGCAACCGTTCCTTATATGTTTTAGCCTCCAGTCCCCTGATCATCTTTATTGCTCTTCTCTGTACTCTTTCTAGAGTGTCAACATCTTTTTTACATCGCGGTGACCAAAACTGGATGCAGCATTCCAAGTGTGGCCTTACCAAGGCATTGTAAAGTGTAAAGTTACAAGGGCACTGAAAAAAGTGACTTCCAACTGTTCCTCATACTTACGACCATCACAGTATCCCCACAGTCGCCTGATCAAAATCGGCCTGTACATAACGACTGTTGCAGCGTCCCAGGATCATGTGATCCCCATTTGCGACCATCCCAGCTGGCTTCTGGTGATCAGCAAAGTCAACGGGGGACGTCAGATTTGCTTAACAACCCCAAGATTCGCTTAACAACTGCAGTGATTCACTTAACTCTACAGTAGCAAAGTAGGTCATAAAACTGAACATGACTCAACGTAACAATCGCTGTGTTTAGCAAGGAAAATTGTGCTCTCAATTGTCGTAAGTCGAGGATTCCCTGTACAGGCATAAGAAGGAATATTCTGTTTCCCTATGGACTGTGTGTGTGTGTGCGTGTGTGTGCATGTGTGTGTGTGTGAGTGTTAAAGCCTCTTTCTTTGCTGGTATCATAATTGAACACATTTCTAACTGGCTATTCTTTGATTTTTGGCAACCCTTTTTTTTTCTTTCTTTCCTCCCTTCCCCTTCCTTCAGCTGCTTATCAAAAGCGAACAAAATACTTTAATTCCTTTGTGAAGCCTGTCTGGAGGGTTAATGAATTAATGTCGTGTCAAGTGCTCTGAAAATTACAACTCCTTACAGGCTCTTTAGGGCTGGCAGAGTGCTGCGTTGAATACGCAAGGACTCCGCAGTTTGTCTACTTTTGATGCCAAGCTTTTCAATCCCGCTGCACCTTCCCCTTTTTTCAATCCCCCTGGTACGCAGAGGACGACAAACGCCGCCAAGAAAGAAAAAAAAAAAATCCCCAAAGAAGAGATTTTGTTTTAGATGGAAATAATAGTAATCCTTATCCTTATCAGCACATCTTGAAATATACTAAACTGGCAAGGCTGTCTTCCCCCACCGATTGGAGGACATCGGTATGCTGCAGAAATGGGGTGAAATTTTACACAGCGGCGTTAATAGCACAACTTCCCCATGGGCAATGAACCAAATGTTTTTTTTTATTGATTTAACAAAGGAAATTTGAACGAGAGAGACTTGAATTTATGCCCGCACATATCAAAGCAACTGTTAGATGGCAGCAAAGAGATTCTGGGGACCTGAACCCTCCACTGCCATCTAGTGGTTTCCTGTTTTCTTGCAGCCTAGATGTGACAGCTGCAACATAGTACGCAGCCCTTGATATTTGGTGATGAATGCCGAATATCGATACAATATTATGCAATTCCTATTGTATGTCATCATGCAGGTTTTAAGGAAGAGACTGGACCGTCACTTGTCTGAAATGGTATAGGGTCCTGCTTGAGCAGGGGATTGGACTAGAAGACCTCCCAGGTCCCTTCCAGCTCTGATTGATTGATTGAATTAATAATTGATAAGATTAACCCAATGAGAGCTAATGAATAGATTATTTAACAAACCATGATTGGCTGGCTTAACCTAGCAAGCTAGGCCAAGCAGCATATTTGGGCTATGTTCACAAGATATCCCAAACCATAATTTGCTACTTAATAGCTTTTCAGCAAGTCACCATTAATTGCATTTGAGCCAGAAACCGGTTCACAAACCACAGTGCCTCATTCGGACAACATACCAAGATGAAACCATAGAGAAATAAATTCAGATTAGAGATGGGGAGGAATTTCCAGGTGATAACACCTGTCAACCAGCAGAATAGTTTGCTTCGTTGGATGGCGTGTTCCCCTTCATAAGTTGTCAACAGAACAGGCCATCATTTCTCTGAAATACTTTACAGATCCTGCACTGAGCAAGAGATTGAACTACTAGATGACCTCTGAGATAACCTTTCCAGTTTATGATTCTATGAAAACCAAAGAAATCACATTTTCAATGGGCGTAGGTTATCCTCGGACCCAACTGTACGGCCTACAACCGAAAAACTAGGAAAAAGACCAACAAGTCCATTAGAAACAAGAACAATCTTGTAACATTATACACAGGTAGTCCTTGACTTACAACCACAATTGACCCCAAAATTTGTGTTGCTAAGTAAAACATTTTTAAGTGAATTTTCCCCCATTTTACGACCTTTCTTACCACAGTTATTAAGTGAATCCCCACTGACTTTGCTTGTCAGAAAGTCGCAAAAGGGGATCACAAGATCCCAGGACACTGCGACCGTCATAAATATGAGTCAGTTGC